ACTGCCTACGAATACACAGGTCACAGGTTCAATTCTCGGGGTCTACACAGATACTGTACATGGGTAGGGTGAGGTCTAGGGATCGAGCCCTGGGTACTGCATCCGCTACTCCTAAAAGGTGAAAACCGTTTCACAAAAAGAAGAAAAACAGAAAAATTCGAAGTTGGGGGGGGGAGGGGATGAAAAAGTGAAAGAAGGAAGAGAGAAAAGGTGAGAGAGAAAAAAAAGATGGAAGTGGAAGGTGGGGGGGATGATGGGGTTGTAGTTGGGTGAGAGAATGGGACAGAAAGGGGGAAAGGTGGAGAGGAGTAAAAGAGATCAGTAGAAGATGGTGAGTGGGGAGGGGAGGAGAGAGGAGTGGTAGGGTTAGAAAAAGTGGTTAGATGGTGGGGTGGGGGAGAAAAGGGGTTGGGGCAGAGTAGGTTAGTGGGTAGGATAGTGATACCGAGCTCTTGGTTGGCCAAGAGCAACAAGATCACCAAGATCCACTGGATCTTAGCCTTCAAGATGTTGGCAGCCTGCTGCTGCAGCAGAAAATGATGTTGGAGTAATCAAGGGTTGGTTGAGATCTTGATCAGCCACCCTGGTTGCCTGACGCGCAGCCCCCTAGCCAAGGGGGTCTTCACTGCTGGCAAACTGCTGGTGCAGCAGTACAAAAAAATAATGGTCAGCATCATCATCAGCAGCTGGGTGTACCGAGATCTTGATCAGCCACCCAGATTGGCCTGTACTGCAGGGGTCTTCAGCTCCACAGCAAGCTGCCACGTGGCACTGCAGATGGCCACGTGCGCAGACAACAGCAGCCACGGAGGGGAGGAGGAGGGGGGGGTGGTAAATAGCTGGCACAACACTTCTTCAACACCAGCGTGCCGCAATATAGAGCCATAAGGGGGGGGTAAATAGCTGGCACGACACTTCTTCAACTGCAACGTGCCGCAATATAAAGCTATACACACATTGTGGCTGGTGTGTTATGGCAGCAGCTATGCACACACATGGCCAGCAGCTCTACCTAGGTTCAAACCCTGGCAGCAACATGCATCTCGGATTTTGATATAACTATTTCGAGGGCGGGGCACGTGGCGCGTGCGTGTGCGGCGGCCTTCGCCTTGGCCGTCTCTCTTTTCTTGCCACGTGTCACTTCTTCCTTGATGCACCTCTCGTCACGATTTCCCGCTGTTTTTCGCTGCAAACGCCGGAAAAACCCGTTGTTGGGTTTAACAGTAATTCCTGTTACGTTGTGTGGTGGGTGGGAGCGGGGAACGTTCCCGCTCTGATACCAGTGTGTGGGACGTTCCCGCTCTGATACCAGTGTGGCAGACCCACCGGGTGAGGTGCTCCGCCTGGGATAGAGATGGAGATGGAGGATGAGGGTGGAGCAAGATGGCACAGCGCAGCTCCCACATAGACTCCAATGCACGTACTCCAAATTGTGCGAATGTAGAATGAATCCAAGTACAGACTCTGGCTGGGGTATACCCCAGCGGACTGACTGGACTGGACTGGACTGGCTGGTACCGACAGAGGTACCAGCCTGGACTGGCCTACCCCGAATACAACACAGGCCTGTGGGAACAGGCCAAGGGGCTGGTCTCACAGGCCAACCAGAGGTCCTCTACACAATTGCATACGTGTAACCACCCCAGGCCCTGTGTGAGTTTCCTGGGACAGCGCCTCAGCCACTTGGGGCCTACTGGAAGCTTCCGGGTGGAGGCCCAGGCCAGCCAGGCAGCCCACGAGTGGCAGCCACTTTCCATAACGGAAAGGGCCTGGCTGCTGGCTGCACATTCGGGCACTCGCTGCTTATGCACAAGCGCTGTTGCGCCAGCTGCTGAGGCGAGTGCCTACTCGCTCACGGGCGGGCAGGGAAGAAGCAGGCAGCCATAGCCGGGCTGGCCTGCACATTGCTGTCTGAGGTGCATGGTGGCCCTTGGGTGCATGTGGCATCTGTGTCGAGGATCGAGGTTGTGAGTGAAGCGAGGGACATACCTGGTGCTTGATGTGAACGGCATTGGCCGAGATCTGCTCATACTTCGGGAAGCTGTTAACATCACCAGCGGCATCGTAGATAGGCTAGATAGGATCTGCCATTCGTAGTCTGGGCGCTGAGCGCCAGATAGGGATTCAACATTGGTTCATTGTTGATGATGATGAGACTATTCCAACATTGTCACTTTTGAGCTTTTGCTGTGCTCTTATTTGGTGGAACTTGAGTTGCAATTCTGCTTTTCGTTCGAGGTCAAGACTATCTGGTTTCATGTGTATGATGCTGCTTGGTTTTCTGCAATTCGCTATCGCTCATTTTCCTTGCACATGAAAGGGAATAATGAAATAGTGTGTACTTGGGTGGACGCTGAACCTGTTTTTCAGCGATTTATTGGGTATTCATGGGACTCTTGAAACGGTTCCCAACAGATCTTTTTTTTCCCCTCAAAAACTAATAGCAAGTAAGATAACATACTTCAAATCTTATCAGCACCCCTAGTTCTCGCTCGGGTTGTTTTCTGGAAAAAAAAAAAAAAGCTTTGTTCACATACAGTTACACATAACCAAAAATTTTGGAACATTTCTCAGTTTTTTTATGCCACCCATGCCCTGGGATCATAATGGTCTTCTCTGTATCGTTCCAATTTGTGCGATCTCTTTTGAAACTGATAGGCTGGACCACTGGTTCTTGGAGGAAAAAAAAAAGAAAGAACAGAAAGACTCACAACGGCCGCTTTTTCACTTGTGGAGGATATCTGCATGGCCTGGTCAGTCCTTGTACCTGGCAGGTAATCCCACATCGCTGGACTACTTGCATTTGTCCAGCGGATGAGGCGACTGCGGTCATGCGTGCAAACATGCCAACAATTTTCGACAAATCATGTTGTGGCGCTGACAGCTGCAGACATGATTTCAAAATTAGAAAGTTTGGTGAACAGACTTACTGTAATCTCTACTCCTCCGGCTACTCCTGTTACCATGTCTTTTGAACCGAAAGGGAACATGGTTACCGCACCTGGAAGAACCTCAGGGCAACCTCTATACGTAGCTCCCTCCTGGCATTTTCGGGTTGCAGAGTACACTGCTGGTGTTTCTGATAAAGCACAAGTGAGAACCACGGATACAATTTCACATCAGATGCAGAAGAAGATGTGAGTTAGATTGGTCACAGTTCTTTCTTTGCTTGTACTTGAAAGGTCCAGATCAATTGGCCCAGAAAGAATGCATTGGAAAACTATTTGAGTTGGTCACATAAGAAGGCACATTCTTGCGTACTGTGATTTGTACCGTGACCAATGTATGCATCCATCAAGAACCACCAATGAATGGATCGTGTGATTAGCCCTCCATTTTCAACTTCCAAATGGATGTTGAGGGAAACTACTCGCATGATTCCCTGGACTGCAAAGATAGGCTCCAAGCAGTGGGGCTCACAGGTTATCTAGAACTTTCTGGGCACTAGTGCCAGAACCCAAGCCCCAACAGAAAACAAACTTGTGTTTTACAAGCATACAGGTGATTAGGATGCCTACTGAGGACTCCAGACCAAATGGAAACAATAAGATACTATCTAGGTAATCCTGACCCTTAAGCGGCATCGGCCGCGGGGGGGAGGGTCACGGTCCACGGCGCGCCCGAAACGGGTGTGAGATTAAGTAAACAACACCCGTGGATTCACAGCGTGGACCATTGAGATTGATGCAGAGACACATTTCTACATTTCTAACCAAATGTTCATTGTGCGCCGGTAAACCTTGGGCTTCCTTTTGCCTACAGCATGACAGCTCAGTGGGTGGTAGAGTGAGGTGGGCCGAAAGGCATGGGATTGCGGGAAGCCTCCTGATGAGACCGGTGCGCACCCAGTTGAAACATGTAGAGGAACTCGTGCGTGATTTGAGCAATGTACACGCTGGTTTTGAATGAAATTCTTTCTATTGCGAGGTAAGAGCAATTTGGCCATTGCTTACATTCTTCTTGGGCTTCCTTTTCCCTACAAACCAATTCCGATGTGATGATAGGCCTTGACCTGGAGGAATATCTGATGACAAGTGCCATACCCCTGAGGAAAAAAAGGGGGTCAAAAACTGAAAAAAAAAGATAAGGGATTAGTATACACATTCGAAATGCATCTGGACAAACTATCCATCGGATACATTCAAAATGTGTGATGTGCGTCCGAATATCTTGGCCGGGTAGAGTACCTTTTGTTTTTTTTTTCTACGTTTATTTTTTGTTTTCGGTGACGCCCGCCCAAATCTGGCATCATCTGACAGATGCCAATGTCGTCAGGAAATTTGGAGGGGACCGTCGATGGGAGCACTGCCGTATGGAAATGCCGGAGTTGTGGACGGAGCCTCTCTCTCTCTCTCTCTCTCTCTCTCTCTCTCTCTCTCTCTCTCTCACACACACACACACACACACACACACACACACACACACACACACA